TATATGAAAGTTTCAGCTTTACTCTCATTTTTAAAAGTGTGAATATCTTGCTAAACTTTAAGAGTCATCGCAGTGTAAAACTATACAGTTATATTATGACTATAGAAACAGAGGGTCAAATTTTACTGTACAAAGCATATTTGATCTCACGTGTAGATTAGAAATTGCATTATTTGGCGAATAAAATAAACATTTTCCCAGATCAAATTTCTATATTAATAAATCTGTAAAAACCACAATAAACGGATTAGATTGAGCCTTGCCGTTTATCCACTATCGTAATCACCGATATCATTTACTTCTACATAGACGATTATGGTATGTTATGGATTGCTTGAGCAGAATAGATGTGACAACAGCAGCTAATTTAAATTTCATATTTTGACTCTTATTAATTATTCAAAGCTTATCGAGTTTTCGATAGATCTATAAATATTCAACTTTGATCTAGGAAAATGTTTGTTTTATTCGCCAAAGAATGCAATTTCTAACAAACAAGCAACCAATGTTCAGATCTGATACGACTCATAATCAAAACTCATTGCCATTCACTCATAGGAAGTTCTGAAACTGTTAACTGTGTTCTATGTGATAATCCGTGCTTTGAGAACAATAAAGTTTCTTCAGTCTGCTATATATCAACTGTATCTAAGAAAGGTTTTCGAGGTCAAATGTGCATAAACTGTTTCATGCGCAATAAACTACGATTTCCTCCGGTACTTTCTTATCTGATCCAACTAAAAAACAAACAGGAAATAGAAACTTTGCCACGTGCTACCAGTTTAAATAAAATTATCGTAGTTTTCGGTGAACTCTAAAGATAACAACAACTTAATAGAAAACAAGTTCTTTCTTATTTCATTTCATTTAACAACAGTGAGATGTTCTATCTTAAACTGCTTTTCATTTGTCTCTATTTGTCATCAAGTAATTGTTCATATCATTTTTATTACAATATTCAAAATCAACAATATGATTGTATTTATTATGCATCAATAAGAACTGTCTTCGATACTGTACCTATATGATTATGAAAGGATAACAAATGCACCTTATTGCATTTCAACGCCTCCATCTACAATAAATTCGAATTATACTCAGCAATATACATTTGAAGAACTGAAGCAATGGAATGTGACACCAATTAATTTATATAACTGGTACTCACCATAGAATATTAGTGAAAACTATCATCCATATCTTCTTCAAAAATTCCGAATAACTTAACAACCACTGACAATATTTATTATAATTATACACAACCGTGGTTTGGAAGATATTGTGCATATAAACTGAATGATGAAATGTAATGTTTCGTACGCTGGTTAGCGATCGATATGAAATGAAAGAAATAACAACAGATGTTTTATCAGTTCCGAACGGAACATATTACATTCAATGTCAGGGTCGCCATACATGTTTAGATTGGCGTGAGATAGGCGATAGTATGTACATGCAGAGAATATTGTGCAATAAAACATCTCATGGAAATCTTTGCTAATTTCTACTGAATGAAGTGGATTCTGTACACATAATTGTGCTAAAATATTTTATGATCCACGTCAAATGCATGAATGCTCGGCCGAAAGAGGGTCAACTTTCAACTCAAGAAAAAGAAACTTTTCCGGAACTAGGTTATGATAGGTATAACTAGCTTAATGAAGCCCGACTTAATCAGTTGTTTTTACGTACATTCTAAATAGAAGGTGGGCTTCAGTTTTCAAACAACTGAAAATCAATGGGAATTGTGTTCTTCATTTGTCCCAAATGGAGAACTCAAATTCTGTCCTTCAACTTCAAACTGATTTTGTTCGTTCAATTATTCTCAGAAACCAGTTTTTCAAAAGTCGAAGAGCAAATTTTGAGTTCTTGAGAACTGAAGAACGGAATCTGAGTTCTCCATTTGAACGAATGAAGAAAAACAATTCTGTGGATTTCCAGTTCTTTGAAAAGCTGAAGAACCCGTTCTTTTTAGACTGTATCCAGATTAAGTTAGCTCCGGCAAAATTTGTTTTGCTTAGGTTGAAAGCTGACTCTGTCTCAGTCGAACAAGCATGTATTTGGCATGATCAGAAAGATTTTAACATATGAACAAAACCAACTTTGTTTCGTGGGAATTAGCTAGGATTTGTACTACGATGTTCTGTTTCACAAATGTTGTATTAGATACACATGTTTATGGAAAGAACCTCTGTCTATTTAGGACGATGTTCTCGTAAAGCATAGATATTAGCAGTGATCAAAATGCCCAGATCAAGCACATCGTTTCAATAAAAAGCTTCAAGTTTAGAGGGGAAAACGGGTCAACAGCTAACGGGATACAACTGGCGGTACCATCGAATCTCGGCCATGAATCGCTTTCACCAAATGAAAACTGCCACAGAGGAGTTTGGGCATCAAATATTTTTTGGCATCTGTCACGATGAGACATTGCAAGCAATATTCCGCGAAAACTCTTATCAATCCTTCTACTTCAACTTGACGTCATGTATCTTACATTATCTTTCCTTTTTCTCATTCCTCACCATATAAGACGTTGAGAGACTGTTGAGACACATCAGAAAGCGAAATGCATGTAATACTGGTAGTCATTTTTCTGCTTGTCGTTGGACAAGTTTTGTGCACAGGTAACCTATTTAATTCTTTAAAAACGAACATAACAATTTTTTGTTCAGTCTATAGTGTAGTAGTAATATAGTGTCGTACAATTTTGAAGTTCCACTTAGTGACGATTGCTCAGTTCACGGTAAGTGTGCTATTAAGCGTAATTTAAAACTACATAGCCTCTCTTAATTCACGCGCAGGCATTCAGACGAAGTTTGATCGGTACGAGAACTATTCAACATTGAATATTTGGTATCCAGCCGCTGGCTTTCAAATGATATCAACTCAAGAAGTAAGCGGATAATTTTTTATAATCGGTAAGATGTATGAAAAAAATAATGTCTTCCTTTCGCCCTAAGTACAAAACTGAACGGATCTAACCGGTATTGTTTTTACAGATACTAAATAGGAATCACAGTGAATGTTTTTCAGTTCTTTTTAACTCAGTTCCTTGATTATTAGAAATTTTTGCAAAATTTCGACCAATGAAACAAGTTGCGGTTTTTAATTAACGTTTTCTATTTTACTTTTATAAATCAATTAAGTGAGTCTTTCAAGATGTTGTAGGTTTCACTCGGCTACAAAAACGTTTCAGTTGCTACTGCGACATTTTTTACAGTCTTTTTCTAGAAATTCACACGAAACGATGGCTTCGGAGAGATTCCTGAGAAGCCAAAAACAGAACAAATGAATACTTTTAATAATGCAGAACATGATATAATAAGCGAGAAAGGTTTTAAACGAGAAAGTCATTTAGATGAAATTCTGAGAAAAAACCTCTAGATAAAGTTGTGAACAAGCTACGTTTTTCACCTTATGAATAAGATGCTTCCGCCTCTTTCTATTCATGAAGTCTGTATTCTCTAAATATTCAATATCTCATTCTTGATTATCAACCGTGAGTTTTAAGCCATGTTACTATGCAGAAACTATCTTTCTTCTAGTTTCTTATTGATCTATCTCCATTATCTTTATAAATAAATTCAACCTTCAACATCACATTATGCACATTTGGATATGACAGGTATCTTCAGTTAACATTTTCTTAGATCAGTCAATCATAGGCCGAACGTTCTCTGAATTTGAAATAATATTAATAACTTCAAAGGCACAGTAAGAGCATACAACAATTCTCGTTCGTCTTCAACCGATCATTCTCATAGTGCGCGTTTTAGGAAGAGAACTGGCCGACCTACGACTATCAATTCTACACGTTTTCAATGACAGCTAACTCGTTTCTGTGTAGGGATTTATCAGCAATAGAGTATATTGATACTGATTCAATATCTAATAGAGTTATTCAAATATTATTGACCCAGTCTCTCCAAAATTAGTACTGTGCATCAACAGCAAGCATTTTAACAGCGAAAGGCAACTAATGTAATTCACTAAGATAATAGTGGATGACTTGAAGCCTGAGCTCTTGTTAAGAATAAACACACGTGACTGATAATTTATTTTAAATTATCGTTCAATTTTTATAATTTATGTTCAGATGCTACATTCAAAGCCTTCTGATACGACTCATAATCAAAACTCATTGTCATTCACTCACAGGTAGTTCTGAAACTGTTAACTGTTTTCTATGTGATAATCCGTACTTTAAGAACAATAAAGTTTTCTTCAGTCTGCTATATATCAACTGCAGATAAGAAAATTTTCCTTATATCGCGGTCAGATCTCATGCTGACTCAAGGAAATTTTCAGGAAACGCTCAGGACAGCTCATAAAACATAATCGAAGACGAAAAAGATGGATTTCAGCCGGGCATTGGTTTAAGGTTTTTCAGAAACCTTCTGGAAAACCTCAAAGCATCAGTGTGCTGCTGGATCACTTTTTCGGCGTGATCAACAATATATGGCACAATATATGGAACCAATATATGGCAAGCGAACGCAAGTCGAACTCGACAACAATTCATTCAGACTTTAACGGGATCTAATAAAAAGCAATGATCAAAAATAAGTTTTTGGAGAAAAATAAGCACTCACTTTCTTCAACAAAACTTTTCTTTGGATACTGTAAGCACGGAAAGCATCTTGCATCTTCACATTTTCTTACTCTTGCATTTTTTACTCAATATTTTCGTACTTTGTTTTATTGTTCGTCTCATTCGTATAAGACAAAAGATACTTATCCTATCTACACAAACTATTAATAAGAAATTTCGGATCATTTTTAGCATGAAGATCTTAACTTCGTATACATCATCATAAGTCGCTTTACTTAATAATAAAGAGTACCCTAGATATACTCTTGAACGTACCATTGAAACAACACCGACGATATCATTCGAATATCTTACATGCGAAATCCTTAGTAATTATTCAGAAGCTTTGAATTATTTACATCGTCTACTGCGCTCGAAAACGTTTAATGACGTCGATCGTCCTGGTATGTACTACTACTGGGCACATGTTTATCATTCTAAGGGAAAATATGAAGAAGCAATTACATATTGTCAATGGGCTCGACTGTTAGAGCGACGCAGTTTGCCACAGTCGAATATGGCCTATGCTCGTGCATTGGACTGTTTAGGCGCAATATATTTAGAATTTGGAAATCGAGCACGAGCATTATATTTTCATGCACGAACCTCAGCAATCTACCATAGAAGCTTACCTAAAAACCATTATATTTTCGGCTTTCATTTTAATCATCTCGTAGAACTTTACTGGCAGAATAGACAATATGAGTCTGCACTTCAGTTACTCACGAACACATTGACATTCATCAAAAAGGCGTTGCCACCTGATTACCCGTGTGAAGCACAAGCATTACACGTTACTGGTTTAGTGCATCGTTCATTAAACAATCGAGGGCAAGTAATTGACTATTTTAAACAGTCGCTGCAAATGCGTGTATCCTTTCAAGGTAATGACCATCCATATGTTGCTCGAACATTCCGTCAAGTAGAAAAAACAAGAATTCTGATATAAGCACTGAGACAAGTATCGTGGAAATTTTTTAAGTATTCAAGTACTTGAGTATAGCTTTTTTTCTCTATTCATGACGAAAGGACGTTAGTTTTGCGTTCTGTTCTGACTGTATATTCTTCTATTGCAAATTGTGAGTCATCCTGATAGTATTAGATTAAGAAAAACAAATATTGCGATTGTTGACAAATTAAATAATTCAGATAATCTAATGGTGTCAAATTTAAGTACCATTGATGATCGACTTGGTAATACCGTGAAGCATACAGTGTCGTCTCCTCAATTTTTTGATTCACTTCAATAATCGCTAGTCTCTGGCCCTTTTATAGCAGAATTATGTAAGCAAATCACGTCGTCACCCATTTTCGTTGATTTGGTAACATCGATGGTATCTGCTACGTTAAAACAACAACAAGAAGAGATTTGTCGGGTGTAAGGATAAGTTTGAAATACTGAAACTGTGAAATTCTCGCATTTTGTGTAAGAGTAACTATCGCACACGGTATAAGGATAAGTTTGAAATTCCGAAATTCTGAAATTCTGAAATTCTGACATTTTGAGTAAGACTGACTGTCGCACACGGTATAAAAATAAGTTTGAAGTTCTGAAATTCTGAAGTGCAGTTGATAGTTATACTGTATAATGATAATTTGACAGCTCTGGTTTTCTGCAAGAACATGCTTCTCTATACTTTCGGTGACATGGAATCTTTCTCAAATTGAATGCTGTTTGATGAAACAGTGGCGTAGAGAGCTCAGACGCATCGTGATTTTTGACGAATGTTTTGTGCAGTAAAAGGGACCGACAAAGGAAGATTAAAAACTTGAAGTAATCCTGTTGGGAGTTCCAGCTTTTAGCACCTTTACGCGCTACCCTGCTAAGGTTTCTGATTACGTTTTCTTAGCTCTTTAATTTTTACATGCAGAGAAACATCACCAGTTCTTCATGTCCAAACGATAATGCAGCTGTATATGACAGCTTTTGATGTAACTCTGTAGGGATAGAAATACCGGGTACTACCGGGGCCAAAAAACAAGAGCCCGACCATGAAACTACCTCATCCATCCTATCATCAAAGTCAATATTAAAATTAACAAAAAAGCAATTTCCACGGTTTACTTTTAGGCGTATAAAGCGCTATGCTACGAACGTTTTGTTCTAACTTCACATCTACTATACATACATTTAGGATATCACATTTCACGCGTTTACAGGGAATACATCCATGAAAAACAAGGAAAACACAACTCGAGCTGTTTTCGCGTTTTTGATAAAACAATTTGAAGTCAGGGAAGATTTTTTGAATAAAACTGTACTCTCTACAGCCAATTTCCAATAATACCGTACAATCAGGCTTTAGTCCTTCATAAAAAAGAAGTACTTCATGCCGCTGTTCCTCGAGTCCGCGAACTTCCAGATCTATAAACTATTTCCAATATCTATCTGTGAAAGAAACTACAATCATTTTTGTGTGTCACTACGGGGAAATACCTGTCATTATAGAACTTTCTGCGAAATATTCTGTAACACGTGTTTTCTATCTCATAATGCACGAATAATTATATAAAGGTGGAAGTGAATATGTGTCAATCAAAGTCGATAATTCATTCCAAGTAGAAGAAACACGTAAGTAAAGCTATTCTATACATGAGAAAGGCGCACTATTGTAGAGTAGTCATTTTTATTTAGGTTTTCTATATCGAAATACGCATTACACATCATTCTCAATTGTTAAATAGAATATATGATGCATTACCTGGGCTGGTGTATATTTATAGCGATGATATTTGCTCGCTTTGAAGTTAACCATGCATTTTTACAAGAAGTAAATCATCTCGAGAAAATGGCGGACAGTGGAAGAGCTTTTGGTTGGTGCTCTACATCAGGCTCGTCCTATTTTTATCATAAAGATTGTTGTTCAAACTGGTGTGCTGGGTTATATGGTAGATGCTCATAAGCAACAACTCTACATAAAACAGTTTATACATTCAGAAATGTAATCATATGAAAGTTGAATAAATAAAATATAAAATGAATGTTCGACTGATGTTTGTTTCGTTCTAATCGGATAAGTCCAATTTTTTTTGAATGATTTTAGGGAAACTTGTCGGCGAACGATTCAAGTGGATTTTTTAACATTCTTACAGATAATGATCAAAGCATAATGGGAAAAGATAAATGATGGGACGTGCGAGTTCGAACTCCAGGCATTGAAGTTAAAAGGCTCACGCTCTACTGACTGAGCTATCGGGACATTGAAGGATGTCGTAGAACATACATACCTGTACAGATACGCATTTCTAGTTCCATCTTTTGTATGCCATGAGCATCATATCAATGTTAGTATCAGTTGATGTTTGTTTGAGTTTTCAACCGAGCAAGTTATCGAAGACGGTCATGTGGTGATTAGGTACCGATATGTGTTCGAGTGTCTTGGTCAGTAGCAATTAGACACTGGTTTTATTGATATTACAAAAAGATCAACTTTTGCATCAGTATCTTTCAATGGAGGAATTGGCACGTAGCAGAATGTTACATCGGCCTAGGTAGTCACAGGTACAGTGTGCAATAGGACACTCTTATGGTGGACGATTACCTACTGACAAGAATAATCTCAAAATGAAAGACTTCTTGCATCGCATTTTAAACATATGTTTTTAATGAGACGAGACATGCATTTTCCAATGTCTGAAATGGTGCGTCGGTGAACTGAATTAAAATGATTTTATATATATCAAACCGGAATAATAAAAACAAAAACTCGGTTTTAATATAAATGAAAATGAGTGTTTTCTTTGTTTTAGATTCTGTCATCTATTGCACAGAATCTTTTGAAGACATACATTGTTCATGATTTTTAAATAACTGTACAATGCGAAGGAAGAAAAGCTATATTTAATTTGTGGTTTGAGTTTGGAACTGGGAAATCGGAAATATGAGCGCGAAGAAACTTGAGTACGGAAAGATGGACACTAGGAAATATGGGCACTAGGAAAATCGGGTACGAGGAAAGTTGAGCAGGAGGAAGCTTGTGCACGAGAAAGTTGAGCAGTAGGAAACATGAACACAAATTTATAGTTTATCTATTCTGGCATAGCCATGGATACACAAAAAAAACATTGCTAGTGCAAAAGTTTGTAACAAAAAGAACTGCGTTTGATTAAGAATCTAGGCAGATAACTTTGTCGACATACTTATAGAGGAAGAAGAGAAGATACATAACAAGATATTTGTTATTCATCATTTCTTACGTCTATATTTCTCTTCTATATCTGCATACAGCTTTATTTCTGTTTATAGAAAAAAACGAATTTACTAATAATTACTATTTTAATTGGGATATTCATTTATATTACAGGTCCAATAGAGGCAGTGCTCATTCTATCTTCTGCCAACTTCGAGAATTAGAATTAAATTAACTAGAGGGTATCCATTCTCACTTCTGATATGAGTTTGAAGTACAGAACATGCTGAACTACATACTGATGAATTTTCCAGAAAAAGTGCGTTTTTGATTTTCAAAAAACGAAACATTCATGTGTAGATAATCCACGCACTAGTTCAGCTAGATGAAACTTTGATGTTTTCCTCTTTCTATGCATACTATAGAGACACAGATATAAAGCAAGGAATGGAGAAAAGAACAAATTTTATCGTTTTATCGAAACGAAAGATTCTGTTCACTGTGAAATTAGTGTTTATTCTGGCAAATCCCAGATTATAAAATTAACAAATTTGAAGTTGTCCTTCTCCAGTTTTTCTGCCAATTTGAATTACACAAGTTGTACTCTATGCCAAGCTATTTTTTGGAAAAGGTCTCTTTTAGTTTTTAAGATATAGAAATCTCAGTATCACAGACTAAAGTTGGTAGAATGTATGGATTTTACTTTAATTTACCAACATAACTTTCTTGATCACTTTTCGGAACAGCATAGTCAGAGAAATCCAAGTTTTACATTTATTTTTTCCAGTGAAACCCCTAAAATTAAATGAACCGGATCTACCCAGGTCAAACAATCCTACCACAGGAGCCTACAAGATTCTTAGAAGATCCTACGTAGGATCCTACCAAATCCATATAGGATCTTGTAGGAAAGACGTAAGACTTCTTTGTCTTCGATTTATCTTATACTTTCCTGTCGTAGGATCCAATCAGATCCTACGAGGTCTTATAGGATCTTACGTAGGATTTCATGGGAATCCTGGCAAATTTGAAACCAAAACATTCAGTTTTAAATCAGCTGTTTATTTACTGCTAGCTTTATTTATTTACTTTTTCTCTTTTGGGTTCTTTCCCAGTCTCTGAATCAGGAGTGGGATGAACCCAAGAACAGTGGGTGAGCTTCCATGTTGATGTTCACACTGTTCAATGCGAAAAATTGAGGTTATTCAATTCGACTTTTTATATTTTCAACGTCGTATTTATAACTGTTTCTCTGACAAACAAAACGGCGAATAGAAAAGACGACAGAACAGAGAAAAATAAGAATTCTTTGAAATCCTATTGTAGGATTCCATAGAATTTTACAGGAACCCTACAGTAAGAATCCTAGCAGGATTTTCGTTGCGCTCCTATAGTAATATTCATATGAGATCTTATGATAGAATTTTTATAGGAAATTCATAAGATTCCTATAGGAATCCTATGATATCCTATCATCTGTAGGATCCTACATAGAATTCATTGACCTAGGTATTTTACTAACTTTTATCTTTGATATATTTCTATTTCTTAAAAACTAAAAGAAACCTTTTTCTGAAAAGTTTATCAATGTTCTGAAGTATAAGTGTCGCAAAGTTTTAGTTATCTAGACTGGACATAAAGATGATCACTTATAAGAGACTGATCTATCTGAGAAAAATTTTGTCTGAATTTTATATGAGAACATAATCTAGTTATAGTTGTCTTATAGCTAGCACATTTTCTTATAAATTAATAAGTTACATTTAGGGATAAAATATGAAAAGAGAACGGAATTATCATAGAATGGAGAACGGAAAATTATTTTTGAAATTTTTTGATTTATCGGAGAACGGCATTGAAAAGAGAACGGTTTTTTATATATTTCTAAAAACACTGAAAAGAGAACGGTTAAAATATTTATTTTTCAAAACATTGAAAAAAGAACGGATTTACTAATAGCTACAATGATCTTCTTGAGAGAAAAGTATGACTTGACCGCGCGACGGCTAAACTAACAAATATCCACTGGCCATGCAGTTAGTTAATTCATACATAGTAATGTTCACAAAGAAGAAAGTCACACTACGTAAACTTTTTACTCTTCGTTTACCACTTGGAAAAAAACCCAGAGGACGACCAAAAAAACAAGTCTTGCTCTATTATTTTGATGAACACAGATTGCTATTTTTGTTAATACTCAGGCTTACTCAGATGTAAACATATAAGTTTTGCATGATAGTCGAATTTCTATCAATCATTGGGAGAGGCTTAAAGAATATGGCGAGAATAACCTGGTTACTGATTAATTAATTAATCCGTTCTCTTTTCAATTATTTTATTTCACAATTCAAAACCGTTCTCTTTTCAACGAAAAAACCGTGTTCTTTCCCATTATTTATTTTCATAAATGAAAAGCGTTCTCTTTTCAACGAAAAAACCGTGCTCTTTTCGATTTTTTTTATTCCGTTCTCTTTTAATTACAAATTTTGACGTAATTATCAAACCGTTCTCCATTCTATGCAAATTCCGTTCTCTTTTCATTTCTTGTCCTACATTTAGTGTGCATATGCTGTATATAATATTTTGTAATTTGTATATTTTACATTATCTGTATACATTTTTATCCATTCGGCCATGAATAATTCTCACAGAAAATAGCCATGGTTTTTATTCTGTTCAATCATACAATTCTTAATTCCAATTCTTTTTTCGCATATGAGTACACAACGCGTTTTTTCTTTAACGACCAAAGTAAGGAAAAAGACTGAGTTATCGAATGTGCCCTAGGTCTAAATTCATTTCTGCATTCTGCTCAGTAAAAATTTTTCATTCTGCATACTGCTAAAGTAATTTCATAGTGAGTGCAGTAAACATTTGGATCAAAACAAAAAATAAAAAACCTATGAATGAAAAGAAAAGGTCAAGGTCAGGGAAAGAAAAACTCAGGAAGCTTAAAAAATGAGTTTTCTAACAGCTTTCGAAAAAAGCTTGAAAACTAATAACTTTTTCAAAGAAAGTTATAGTCAGCCATATACTCACCATTCCTCGTTTTGAATTTGCTAGTATCACTCTGGATTTTTGAGTTGCTTTAAAAATTGTGGAGTATGTTGTATAGATGTTCTATGGGGCTTTTTTACAGTTCAAGATATTCTTACTCTAGGTAACACATAGGAGCTAATTTTATTTCCTGGCACTAGCCAAAGACTTTTGCTAGATGTCTAGTGTCTATCTCAGAAAACAGAAGTGTAGTTTAATTTGTATTACAGAAGTTGCTGATTATTTGGATGCTTCTTTTAGTTCGTAGAATGTTAGCTGTAACAGATCCAGTTAAACTTTGTATTTCAACATCTAACGCATTAGTCTCACGATCGCATAATCAGTTGTGATACAGATGACCAAGTTGCTGAACGGGTGATCTTTCTTTTTTAAAAGTACTGGACCTTTCGAATCCAATAATACATCCATTTATGTTATAATCAGCTATTAGAAACTATTATTTATACAATTTTCGGGAACAAAGTTCTTTAGAGAGTAATAAATTATCAATGTTGGTGGGAAAAATATGTGCTATTACGAGTCCTGCAGAACAGTTTTCATTAAATAAGTTGGATAAAACTGTAGCTGCACTTTTTGAATCCGACAAGGAGCATACCATAATTTTTATTTCAGTACAAACAATATTGTCACTACGTTGATAAGAACAGAACAAAACGTGACTTTTTTGGAAAGAGAAAAATCGTTATATTAACGAAGAATAAGTACCTGCTACGTCTCTGAAAAAATACTTTTACCTTCTTCTTTCATCATTTCTTTCATGAAAACAAAAAGAAAAATTATTATTAATTAAAAATTACATGATTGAATAGAGAATTCTCTCCTCTATCCCGGCATCTAAAATTTCCTGTTATTGCTTGAAAAATGGCTGAAAAAATTTAGATTTACGAAACAAGAAAATTTTCATGCCATAATTAGCAACAGTGACTTTACGGATAATAAATCGTATGACTCGAAAGCTCTACATTTGAAATAAATAAAGTCGTACACAAAATGAATCTCGCTGATATAGAGTAACAGCTGTTATTATTGTTGTAATACTGACGATGTATACGAAATGAATTATTATCGTAAAATAATCGTACGGAAGCAGTAATCATTAATAATGCTGTAATAGTATGGTTTAAGTCGTAGATTTTTATTGCTTAAAAAACATATTTTTCCGTCGGAAAATAATACAAAATCGTGTTTTCAAGTATTCTATATTGCTTTAAGGGTACCTCCCTCATTTAGGGCTTTCCGTAGAAATGTTGTGAAATAAAAACTAAAACTCACTAAGGCTTCATATTTTCAGAACTGATTGGAAACTCAATGAAACACTTTTTCGTTTGTGTTTCAGATTTCTAACTATTGCCGCTCATCAGTTTTCCAGAAAACTCGGTTTTTCATTGTGCCACATTATTTAAATTTCATTCGATCGAGTTAAAAATTTTACCAGAGGTATTCAAGATCATAGAGCAGAAATGTAATTTTGGAATTTTATTTTAGACCTTTCTTTACCGAGTTATACGGTTTCTAAACTTTAAAAACTTGGTTTTTGAAAGGTTTTCGGTATTTTCCTATAAATGAGGGGGGGGGGCTAGCACCCTTAAAGAAGCTGAAAATACGCAGAACTGTTTAAAAATGAGTCAGTTTTGCTTCAGCTTATGTTGTTTCATCTAACGTACTATGTTTGTAGAGAAAAAAGAAATTTTTTCTCTTTTCATGGAGAAACGTCGAAATTATTTTTCTTTACGAATGAATAACGCTTCACTCTATGAATCATAACCATTGATTTGCATGCAGTTCTAAAAGATTGAAAGAAAAACTGTCTTAAACTCGATTCTTTTTTCCAGTATTTGAAATTATCTGAAATTTTACTACACGCTTTGTAACATGTTAGTCTTATGGAATGATTTAAGTTGAGTTATGTATGATGAGTGAAAATCGACGAAATCTTCGACCAGAAGAAATAGCGGAGAATAAGGAAGATATCACACTTATATGGTTAGACCAAAACATTGATGATTCAAACGATTCTCAAGACACACAAACAACTTTTAAACAATTGAATAATTATGTCCAGTTTTATACCGATCCACTCTTATGTATTGATTATATTCGAACAATTAAAGATGAGCTAATATTTCTAGTTGTCTCTGGCTCATTGTCGAAACAAATTCTACCTCACATTTGCTGTTTGCCATCTGTACATTCGATATTTATATTTTGCATTAATCGCAACGATTATTTGTTTTTACAAAATGATTATCCGAAAATAGTCGACATATTCATTGATCAAGAATCATTGTTCAAATCAGTTCGAAATACGCTTCATCGAGTATCGAAACAGACAGTTGCATTTAGTTTATTCGATCAAAAAAATCAAAAATCCATCAGAGATTTGTCAAAAGATTCAGCCTCATTTCTATGGTATCAGTTACTTATTGATATTTTAAAGCAAATGCCACATACGGAACAGGCCAAACAAGAAATGCTTGATAAATGTTCAGATTATTATCGTACAAATAGCTGTTTTTTGGAAAAAATTGAATTATTTCGTTCCACTTATACATGTGATAGAGCCATTGAATGGTTCACTGAAGATTCATTTGTTTACAGGTTACTTAATAAAGCATTACGAACAGAAGATGTTGATTTACTTTATTTATTCCGGTATTTTATCATTGATTTATGTAATCAATTAGAATTAGTGAATAGAATCATTCAAAATGCGACGACCACCCGAGAAGAAATTCTAACATTGTATCGTGGGCAACAAATCTCCACACAAGAATTTCAGAAATTGAATGAGGGTGTCGGTATTCTAATATCAACCAATGGGTTTTTTTCAACAACTCGAGATATCAATGTTGCACTTGATTTTGTTGCCGGTACATTTGACACAGACGAATTAAAGGTGATTTTGTTTGAAATAAAAGTTGACTGTAGGTTAAAAAACGTGACGTTTGGTGATATAAACAAATACAGTAAAATGAAATGTGAGCAAGAAGTTCTCTTTAGTCTTGGTGCTGTATTTAAAATAGATGAAGTTCAATATGATACAAATTTGCAGTTGTTCAAAATAAAAATGACAGCAACAGACGATGGTTCGAAAGGTGCTGAAGAATATCTCAACTATGTGCGGCGACAACTAGATAATTATACTCCAACGATTTTATTTGGACGTCTTTTATGGAATGAAATGGGACAGCTTATGAAAGCGGAGAAATATTTTCATACGTTACTTAAAACATTACCAAATGATCACGAAGATCTTTCTGCTGTGTACAATCAATTAGGTAACGTATATTACCGAAAAGGTGAAGTAGATTTAGCACTAGAAAATTCTCTACGCGCCTTCGAACTACGTCAGAAACTATTGCCTTCTGATCATCCTCATTTAGCTGGTTCGTTAAACAATCTTGGAGGTATTTATTTGTTGAAAGGTGACTTGGGCAAGGCAATGACTTGCTGTACACAAGTGTTGGTTATGAATGAAAAAAATTATCCAAACGATCATGTTTGTAAAACAAATACATTGGCCACAATAGGTTTGATATATAAGGCAGAAAGGCAGTACGACGCTGCATTAGATTTTATGAAAAAAGCTTTCCAAATGCGAAAACGGCTCTTACCTGATAGCCATCCACTTATTGCTGATGGACTGTATAAAATTGCCTCTGTGTACGAAAATAAATTAGATTATAAGAATTCACTTGACTACTATCACCAAGCATTTGAAATGATGGAAAAAGCTTTGCCCAATGATCACGAACATCTTCTTCGAACTCTATCGGACATTGTTAGAGTTTATGCAAACGTCTCTGAATACAACATTGCTCTACAATTTTGCAAAAGCAAACTTCATCTTCGCCGCCGATCGTATACTACTAGTGAAAATCATTTACATAAGCTAGCTCAAACTTTTAAAAATATGGGTGATAGTTTTAATGGAGCACTTGAATCACTTGACTTTTATAGTCTAGCTTTAGATATTTTACAAAACTCAGATCATCCAATAACAATCGAATGCCATAGGGGTATGAGTGTCGCGTATTTTAATCAAAATATGCTTGATGATTGTTTAAGTCATCGTCTAAAATCATTGGAGATTGAGCAAAAATTATACGTATCTAATCCAATTCGTTCAGCCGAATCATTACACGATATTGGTAAGATTTATATAGAAATAAGAAATTATTCGCAAGCTCTTACATATTTGACAAAAGGTTTGGAAATATTTGAGGCAAATTACACTACCATGAAGGAATATGAGACCATGAAAACTATTCGAAATGACATAGTTACAGTCACAGAAAAATTAAAAATGTTATCGACTATAAAGTGTATTTAAATAAAATAAGTGTTTACATCTGTCCAACGTCGAATATTAGTGTAACTTAAACGCCAGTTTTTATTGGATATTTGTAATGACACCATTGAATGTATTCTATGACGAGCGTGTAGAAACTTATGATTAGGAGAAGATATTCACTATACCCTTCCTCTCTGCCTTCTAAGACTATAGGCATCAGAACAATTTCAAGATAGTCGCAGCTTCCAAAAATAGAATTTGTAAAACGAGATAGTTCACGAAACGAGTATATTTTGCACAAAAAATATGCTGGAAGACGTCTTCCTCTCCTCCCTGTCCTAAGTGCCAGTTTTACTCCCGTATCTACCCGGCTAATGCTCTTTATTGAATATTCTTGAGTGTAAGATAGATTTGTCGAAAAGCCCAAAACCTGGCTATATTAAACTTACATTAGTTGATCAGGATGGCTTTTTGACGGCCTAACGACTGAAACTGCACGTGTTTTAATGAATTCTGAAGCTTCAATAAAACCGTCCGCTAAAAAGCATGAAAACGCTTTCACGGTTTTCCTTTTCACGCTTTTAATGTCATTGTTTTCTTTTGACAAACGGTCAGTTCATGATTTTATTTCTACAGTTTCGACCTTTACGATACTTTTCCATGGTTTTAATTGTATAGTTCTTAAACTGACGGTTTTATTGTAGGATTTTTCTTCGATGGTTCGAAAGCGGACGGTTTTGTTTCTATAGTTTTAACCTTTACGGTTCTACTTCCATAGCTTTTCTTTTATGCTTTTGCAGTTTATCGTTTTCATAATGTAGTTTTTTACTTCATGGTTCTACGGTACGGTTTTCTTTCGACGGCTTTGGATTTTACGGGTTTTATTTCACCGTGTATGCTTGATAATACTTTTTACCCTTTTTATTGGGATTTCCTCAAAACATCAGATTCTCCTGATTTTCCACTCACCCTCACCCTCAACAACTACCAAGACGTTTTCTTCGATCAAAAACCACACCAATAGGATCAGAGAGTCATGTAGATCAAATTGGTATACCTTTTTGGGTGTTATTGTCCTTTCTTCTGGGTGTTAGTGGGTGCTTATTTGTAAAAATGGCTAAAAAATTCAGTTATTAGTGATTGTTTAGGGTGTTAGTAGACGCAACTCAACGAGCTCTATCGATTTCCTATTTCAGATTTTAATTTCCAGGATTTTTCGGTGTTAGTGGATGTTAGCACGTTTTACAAATATCCGTTTATATTGTATATGAGTAATTGTAGTTTTTGTAAAGCTTTTGTTTTTGTGTTACATAGATCTGATTTTCGATGTTTATTTAAACTATAATGGATATACTTTTGCGGCCTAAACAGAATCTGATAGCCAAATAGGTGAATAAGACGTCGGCAGCACTATTACTGTTTGAAAGAGAACACTATGTAAAATCGTCATTATCATCATCATCACTCGGCTGCTCTGGAGCAGGCGACCACAATCTTCTTCCATTTGTGCTTACTCTTAGCATCATTTAAGCCAGGTTTTCTTACTGCTCTTTTTCTGGCGTTCCAGCACTTCAGTTGCTGCAGCATCTATACTTTCAATCAGCGTATCATAACAGCTCTGGATCTTGACCTTCTCACCTTTATCCAAATTTGGTTGATCATTTGCTCTGACATTTTGAAGAGCTTCAAATCTATTCGCTAGCACCTTGTTGAATCTCTCGTTTACCCTATCATTCTTCAGACTTGCATAGTTGTAACGAATGTTTGTGACACTACATTTCTTTGTAGCTCTTAATCGTAATTTGAATTTACAGCACACAACTCGATGATCTGAGTCAACGTTCATTGTGTTGTAAGCCCTACAATTACGAACCGAATTACGCCATTTCGAGTTGACAAGGATATGATCTAACTGTGCGGTTTGACCAGATGTATGTCTCCACGTCCATAATCGACCTTGACGATGTCTAAACCTTGATTGTATTTCTCGCATGTCATACATTTCACATAATGCAATCAACCTCTCTCCATTGTCATTCGTTTTATCATGATACAACGATGATCCAATTGTTCTAGACGACATCTCTCTTCCAACTATGGCATTCATATCAGCTAATACCAATTTTACATTGTGCTTTGGTATAGACTTGATACAATCTGATAGAGCATCATAAAACTCACTCTTTTCATCGTCGTTTGCCATATCGGTCGGAGCATACGCTGATAGAATTGTCAAAGCTGGATTGCCTGCGAAATAAGCAACTATGATTCTATCATTGACTCTTTCAATGTTCATTAGCAATTCTTTATACTTGGTCTTCATTAATAGTCCAACACCGCCATTTCCTTCTTCCGTTGCTGATGCCAATCCTAGCAGCCATTCGCCATCATCCGAATATCTATATTCAATCTCTGTATCTTTAGATCTTTGTCTATGTTCTTGTATAGCGACAATATCTACATCTTGTTCCTTACAGCATG